TTAAAAGAAAACAGGGGTCACCGTACGTTTTCCTGCTGTAACATAAAAATGGATGTTTCTTGTAGATACTTTATAAATTGTACTATTTCTGAGTTACTTCCCCTTAATACGCAAAATTATAACAAAAAATCGAATTGAAGCAAACCTGGGACTATTATACTAACGTATAACGTCCCAGTGCAAACGTATTCTACTTTTGTAATATATGATTAGTTATAACTTAAAATCACATAAATTTGTCCATTCAATTAAAAATTATTATTACTAAAAAAGTTATAACAAAAATACAGAACTCCAAGGTATATACAATCAAAGTACTGAAGTACTGAACATCGGATGACCGCAAGTTTGTGGATGGTCAAAAGCACTTGTCACAGAAAAAATCACATCTCAATACCTGAAACTGAGGTTAATGTACAGAGTTATTTTTTTTCTGAGACAAGTTCGTGCGTGGATGATGAATAAATGACAAGAAATTCAACCTCACCGTAATAACTATTATATTGTATACGTAGTATACACTGGTTTGTTGTTATATATTATATTAATATAACAGTTACATGTATATATAATTTTCATCCATTTATGTATCATTCTATTCTACTATTGTAATAAAAGTGCTGTGCAAGTGCATGGTGACACTCTTCTGTAAAACTTCGATTTTAGTAAAAGATTGGATATGAGTAGGCATTCATATTTTCCCGCAAAAACAATCTTCCATGCAGAGTTACCGGTCCTTGCCGGGATTGTCGCAAAACGTTATTGTCGATATTCTTCCGCATGCTTTAACACAATATTTCGGTACGTGTGCATAGATATTATCAATGATTTTTTACTTATATATATATATCTAACGACAAAACATTTTCATATTATCAATTAATGTTCTAAACAAAAATATTTTTATCAGTATTCATTGAAGAGATGTATTTATAACAAACGATAAGGAATGATATTTTGCACTCGTTAATATCAGCGTATTTATCATGTTTATAGATCGGTTACAAACCCAAAACGAAAGTTACGTAACGGAAATCTAGGCGATAGCAATACATCGGAATGCCTTCACGGTCATCGCGATGTAAAAAGGGGAGACCCATATACACTGACAAAATCAAACATTATAAATCAACGGAACGCGAAAACCAACCGTCATATTCCTGACAGGGTATAGGCATTTTCCGAAAAAATGGTGGGTTAAACCAGGTTTCATTGATAGTCAAACCTCCCACTTGTGTGACATTTGTTTATGGTTCCGTTCTTTTGACAAAATTTAGAAAGCAACCTAAAAAGACATAATAGGTTAATGTGATAATAATTGGGATCCAGCAGCTAAAGTTATGTAAACATGAATCACAACCGACTAGAAAATTCAAACAAACATACACATACATCTAACAAAGAGGCCAACAAAAGGTGTTGTAGTAGATAGAAAATTTGATTAACAAAAAAGGTTTTGTAGTTAATAGTATATTGACGAAGACGGTACACTTTCTCGATATAATAAGTACAAATTAAGTAAAATATAAATACAAGGGTAAACAAATATGAAAAAAAAAACACTGTATACTAATAACAAAAAACTCTTGTGTCCGAATCGCTCCTCAGGACCCACCTGCACCAGGAATGTCGAATGTCAAAAACCCGATAGCGGGATGTATGAATACCATGTCACGTCAAAAGCCATAAGACCAAAAGAAACATATTAACTTGAAGACGACAAATACAGAGAAAACTGTAAAGTAATAAAAAGATACACAACTGTAGCTCCTAGAATCTATAATTCAATATCATTTTGTATTATTAGGGGCCTCAGTGGCCGAGTGGTCTAAGTAGTTACTACTGTAATCAATAGCCAGTCAACACTGAGGTTGTGAGTTCGAACCCCGCTCGTGTGGGTGCACTCGACTCCAATCTTAATTGACTAGGATTGTCAGTTTTCCTATCGAAGGTCGGTGGTTTTCTCCGGGCGCTCCGGCTTCCTCCACCAATAAAAACTGGCCGCCACGAAATAGCCCAAAAGCGGTGCTTAAAAGTGGCGTTAAAACACAAAAAAATCAAATCAAATCAAATCATTTTGTATTATTTGTGTAGTAGACACTAAATTTCAGTCCTGCATCGAAATTTGCTGACTGAATTAAAAAATCAAGACCAATTGAGTTCTGTTATTTTTCAATCCAAGATGGCGGAAGACATTCATACCACCTTAAAAAGTTTGCTTTCTTCAATTTTCGATTTAAAAGGTGAAGTTTATATAACTTACACCAGAAATTAAGTACCACTTCACATAAAATATACATGTCCAACCTGTATATGTTACATTTTATTTTGTAAAATTCCTTAGATATTTAGAGATTTTGTAAAATCCCTAACAGTTTCAGTTATTTTATAAAATTACTGAAAATATTGCTAGGGATTTTACAAAATACCTTAATACAACTTTAGACCTAATATCAGACTTAATATACCCCTAACGGGAGGGATTGTGCTTGATTTTCATATGTTGAAGACATAATCTTTCAATCAGTTTAATTTAGGTCTGGAGCTGGCATGTCAGTAACTGCTAGAAGTCCTTTGTTAATTTATGTATCATTGTCATTTTCCTTAGTTTCTTTTGTTACCTATTCTGACATCGGAGTCGGACTTCTTTTAAACTGAGTTTTACTGTGCGTATTGCTGTGTGTTTGTTTATTCTACATTGGCTAGAGGTATAGGGGTAAGGTTGAGATCTCACAAAACATGTTTAACCCCGGCTCATTGGTGCACCTGTCCCAAGTCAGGAACCTCTAACCTTTGTTAGTCTTGTATGTTTTTAAATTTTAGTTCATTTATATGTTTTGGAGTTTAGTGTGACGTCCATTTTCATTGAACTAGTACACATTTTTGTTTGGGGTCCAGCTGAAGCCCGCCTCAGGGTGCGGGATTTTCTCGCTGTGTTGAAGACCCATTGGTGGCCTTCGGCTGTTTTCTGCTCATTGGTCGGGTTGTTGTCTCTTTGACACATTCCCCATTTCCATTCTCAATTTTATTGTATTTTTCTTAATAAAGATAGACCATTAATTGTTTTAATATATTTATTGAATAGACTTTACTGATTTGGACTATTTTAAAGTGACTATGAATAAGAGACATACATGTACATGTATGTGCAGATAGATACAAGGACTGCAATTTAATTATTTTTTTCATAAGTTTGGGTATATAATTTCTCTGCTATTCAATAGGCACACCTTTTTTCACATCTCCACATCACAGAACTTCATACCTACCTTATTAATAACTTATTAAACACGAAGTAATTTGATTCTGATCTCAAGATCGGAGAAAATATAAAAAAAAATATGTATTCCTATGTGATTACATAGTTTCAAAGATATAACCAATGCAAGTGAAACATGAAAAAGTGGTTAAGGTTACCAATCAAATGAATTGATTGGTTGATTGTTCGTTGCTTAACTTTCAGTTGCAAATATTCCATGCAACTTTTTCAGGACGAGAATAAATTAACAATAAATACAATAGTTAAGTCCTGTAATAGAGGACGTCTGGGATAAAGGTCGGGGAGATTTGGGCTGCCACTGGAAAATGAGAGTATATTGGATAGGGAGAGAAATTTTGCATTGAACAGGCCACCTACGGGGCCCTCAGAGTTGTTGCAAGTGCTCTTTACGTGAGGAGAGCGTGGCAGACTCTCTACATGAGGCATCAGATTTAGCGTCCCCATTCGGACCGGACGTGGCTGCGTACTTGTATATCCCTCACAACCAAACGCACGCCCCCTTTGACAAGGTTTTTACTGTCGGTCGGAAGAAGATCAGAGTAACTATATTTCTATTCCTCAGTCACCCTTTAGGAATAGCTCTCCTTACAGTTCATGTAGAACTGATCCCAACTATAGGAACACTTATAGTCCATTATTGAACTGATGATAAACCCGAAACGCTTATAGTCCTTTATTGAACTGATGATAAACCCGAAACACTTATAGTCCATTATTGAACTGATGATAAACCCGAAACACTTATAGTTCATTATTGAACTGAAGATTAACCCGAAACACTTATAGTCCATTATTGAACTAATGATAAACCCGAAGCACTTTTCATAATAGTCGAACGGTGAAAAGATGATCGTTGAGCTCGGAGCATTAATTATCCTGGACAAGTGATATCATCGGAGCACTAATATTACGGAACGTATGATAACCTAATGGCACCTATAATACTAAACGGATGATACGGTCGGAGTACTAATTGTACTGAAAAGAAGATTAATTTACCTCGGAGAATTAATAGTCCATCAGCACTGATATCGACCAAATTGTAGTATATCAAAGTAAGAGGTGATGCTAACAAATTAAGACATAAGCTATCTCGTGTTGTTAATATAGATGCTTTGAAACAACCCTAAGTTTTGAATAACTGACCTTTCGTATTTATGTGTTGTATTGTACCTGTGTTTTGTTGCGTGCAAAGCCGATGTTTTAAAGTTATCAAATTTTATTTAGCTGATTTCGACACTACGTTCATCTGTCTACTTTTTCCCTACAGATCATCATAAACAGCAGGAGTATTTGGTACTAAAAATACATAATGATATCTCGTCAGTTGATGTTTTTGTTATATATCAGTGTTTCGGCCTTTCAAAGTGTTTTATGTATATAGATGATAAATCTTTGGTTGTCTGTTAAATCTTTTCAGCACTTGTTTAGAATCGGGTCGATATATAATTTGACATACGTTTGAGACACGTGTCTATGGTTGAATATCTATGCTGGCATTTAGAATAACAACATGTATTTAGTAATTGAAATGTGACAAATTACACTCCATTTCATGCGCCAATACAGATCTCCCTCCGTATATTTTTATTTTCGTATTACTGAATTCAGAATGATATTTTCAGAATTTTCATTGTTCTGTATTAACGGCTATTTATATATATATAATTGCATGATCTTCCATGGCTTCATTCGTCGGGTTTCATAAGAATTACTGAGACGGGTTTAATTTTTATTACAGTTAATCAGATGTTTATTAGAATCAATCAAAAATAGAAAAAACATTATATATCTCGAATGATACAATGCATCGTTCTACATGATTGTACATCAGTAAAGAAACCTTTTGTATGTCTTAAATTCATGAGTCCAAAGAGCACATCAAAAAATGCTAATACCAGTGATCGCAAAAAAAGATCGCGATGACGCTATAAGGTCTTCTTCTTTTAATTGTTTTAGGGGTTAAGAGGGGGTTGAAGTAACAATATTTTGATATTTTCGTTGTATCGTTTGTTATTGCAAAAAAGATAGTGATGACGCTGTAAGGTTTTTTTCTTTTAATTGTTTTTAGGGGGTTAAGAGGGGGTTGAAGTAACAATATTTTGATATTTTCGTTGTATCGTTTGTTATTGCTAGTAGCTTAATCTGAGTTTTTCAAACTTACACGGCCTAATTTGATTGATATTAACATAGTTTGTTTGAAAGAAGAAATAAGTATCTTCCCTTCTAAAGTTCATCATCAGAAATACTCGGAACAAATATCGTTTTCCTGAATGCAATGTGTTTGTGCTTATTATCATTTTTGAAGTACGTTTAAAAAATCCTGAAAAGAATTTACAGACTGAATCGACAATAATACATGCCCTTATTTAAAAATATTCTTAATTCAAATATCAATACATGTTTTGTCAATTAAAACATTATACTTAATTATTATATATTCGAAATAGAGTAATCTATAATTTAAAACTGTAATAATACTTTATATATATATATATGTTTTGTATAGATCACTAGACTAAGGAATTCATAGTCAAGGGTTATGTTTTAAAAATTTAAATCTAAACCTTTAATCTTGAGTTATTAACCTACAATATATGTTTACTTAGTTATAATCTACAAGTACAATATGGTTAGGCTAAATCTAGACAAGTATGATAGCTGTGACTATAAAATTTGAATGTATGACCAATTTCCACTGTATTTGTTTCATTTACAGAGATCATATTCGGAGAGGTGAATATTTAAAAGCCTAAATACAAATGTAACATGATATAATTTTTTACACATAAACATAAAAGCTAAATTTTGTAAACAGCTTTATATTGCTTTAAAGAAAAAAACAGGTGCATAATTTTGACGTGTTATTTTTTTAATTGTCTGTGATTCGTGTTGTGTGGACTGTTGTTTGTCTGTTCATCTTTTTATTCGACTATCGAGTTATCTATCTTGGACGTATGGTTTTTTACATCGCGATGACCGTGAGGGCATTCCGATGTATTGCTATCGCCTAGATTTCCATTACGTAACTTTCGTTTTGGGTTTGTAACCGATCTATAAACATGATAAATACGCGGATATTAACGAGTGCAAAATAACATTCCTTATCGTTTGTTATAAATACATCTCTGCAATGGATACTGATAACAATATTTTTGTTTAGAACATAAATTAATAATATGAAAATGTTTTATCGTTATATATATATACATTAGTAAAAAATCATTGATATGGTAAATCATGCGGAAGAATATACCAAGAACATTTTGCGACAATCGCGGTAAGGACCGGCAACTCTGCATTGATTGTTTTTGCGGGAAAATATAAATGCCTACTCATATCCAATCTTTTAGAAAAATCGAATTTTTACAGAAGAGTGTCCACCATGCACTTGCACTGCACTCTTATTAGAATAGAATGATATACAAATGGATGAAAATTATATATACATGTAACTGTTATATTAATATAATATACATGTACAACAACAAACCAGTGTATACTGATTTGTATCACTACAATATAATAGTTATTAAGGTGAGGTTGAATTTCCTGTCATTTATTCATCATCCACGCACGAACTTGTCTCAGAAAAAAATATATCTGTACATTAACCTCAGTTTCAGGTATACAGATGTGATTTTTTTCTGTAACAAGTGCTTTTGACAATCCACAAGAACTTGCGGTCATCCGATGTTCAGTACTTCAGTACTTTGATTATTACCGCCTTAGTGTCCTCTTCCTATTTCTGCCATACATTATGCCATCTTTTGAAAACGATGATTGACTTTATCTTAGTCAGAATAAAAAAAAAACTTCACATTAACATACATGCAATTAGAATTATACCTGTTTTTACAAGATTTTTTTGTAAAGTATTATAGTACATTATTTGTACTGAGTTTAATATTACAAACCTCAGGATAAAATGCATTTGCTGTTGATGATGATACATAGTAGACACCAAATTTTGGAAATTTCTTTGGGAGACGGATTAATTTAGATGAAATAAATGTAATAAAGATTAAAAAGTTCCCATCAGTCCACGTATACAGTTTTTATTTACATCAATATGTATGTTCGCAAAATCATACGTTTATTTAGCATCCTTTAGATATAATTTTGATTTGTATCTTTTGAGTGTATATTTCTTGAAGACAATATAAAGGTATTGTTATCAATAAAACACGATGAAACTGAAATATGTGTTTCATCGGATAATTTTAGGCTTGAATCATGTTTGTCCTTATTTTCAATATTGTTTGACGTATCTGAAATAGTAGAACCATGCCCAGTAAGATAATGTTTCTGGGCTGCGAAATCATCGCTTTCTGAACATATCTTATTGGAAAAAGTATTAGAGCGAACACGATATTCTAAATCGGACCGAGATCCAGTTAGCAAAAAGGGAACACTGTTTGACTTGTATGAAGTAACAAGATTAATGTTCTGGTTTATCCAGTTCTCTGTGTAGATTTCACTGCTCCGTTTAGAGTTTTTGTTAATTCGAGATTTTTTTATCTGTTTCATTTTATGATGATGTACACAACACATAATTATGATTGACAGACACGAAAAAAGTACTATGAAACTTGCAACGCCTATCAGGCATTTTACAAAAACTGGTAACACAAATTTATCGCTGGTAGTTGTATCTGTTTTGAGTTGCCTGTCTTCTGTTTCTACAAAACAAAGTGTTACATAAAAATGACTAAGATATTTCTACACGTACTATAAGTAAATTGACTTTTTGGCAATGTCAACGTTATTTTGTATTTAAACTAATTCTTGACAAGCTTATCTACTTTATGCATTGCTATATTAATATAATAAATACATTTTGAAAGTTAACTTAATCTATATCAGTCACCATTTTATATTACAAATATTTCATGCAGAAAAAAATCTTGGACACACGTGTTCTTCTTGCACTGTTTACATTATGACGTTTCTGTATAAAATATATTTTAATAACAGATTAGCTGTTGGTATTTGGTTATTGGAAGGCTTGAAGGCATTGACAATATATTAAACTTGAATTTTGTTATTCCTTGATTCATATTTTATAAAGGTCTAGTATTGTAATTTATTATATTTTACTGGCCATCTGGCCAGAGGATGTTTGTCGTACATAGGGGAGTTTGTCTAATGACTAAGTCTAATTCAACAACATTGCTTCTAACTTGCATTTTGGTGGGTTCTTAATGTTCTTGGGATCGGGCATTGATTTTGACTCTTCGGTTGCCTGTTACAGCTTGTCCACGATGCCTAGAAATGGAAAGAACGTGTCATTTAGACGAGCGTTTTTCAAGTGTTGAAGTCAGTATAGTGTCTTCTGGATGTCTACTTTAATGACCTTGAATCGTTTAACTTTGGTTTTTGGTTCATGGATGTTATCATGCTATTTATACTGATGAAATAAAATGACTTTATTATAACTTTATTTCCTTATGCTAATTGTTTGTCTTCTTTCTCTATACTTATGTAGTTTGTATAAACAGTCAATAAATAACTTGTTTGAAGTATAGGAAATGGACATGTAACATGACAAGTATCCACCAAAGAGTAAACACCAAAAAACAATGAGCAAAACCCATACCATATAGTTATATTAACGGTACCAGTTTTACTGACCGGATGCACATTTCGATAATTAATTTCTCTCAAGTGATGCTCGAGGCCAAAATATTTTAAAATGAAAACCTTTTACAAACGTTGAAAAACCAAAAAGCACATTTGCATAAGGGAGATAAAGTCCTTAATTTAAAAAGATTTCCAAAATTTTATAATAGCATATTCATCAAACAATATCTGTGCCTTCTAACCATTACTGGCTACTAGGCTGGCGACACCCTCGAAGACTAACAGCTTATATATGTGAAAAAATTTAAAAGAGAAAACCAACGACCGACAAGTATTTCATAAAGATAAGTAAGAATAAAACCTATTGGTACATTTGCGAATATCGGAGAGAACTTCATGTGTGGTATTTTATCCAAATATGTAAGATAAAAAAAAACACTAAGCCTGACATGATCGTGAAAGATAGAGGTAATAGTACCCAACAAAGAGTTTTCTACGAATGTTACAGTCATCGATTGTTCATTATTATAGATAAAGAATCTATTTATAAGCGCTTTAACTTTTTCATACAATCTCTTTTTTTCTTCTCTGTTGACTAACGCTTTAAACAAAAACTTTTACTTCTACTTAAACATTCAATTTGAATTAAAACAATGCAAACTGATATGAAACTGCCTTGACCCAATTGAATTTCTCTGGAAAAACCTGAATTTTCTTCCTTTTATTACTTTTCATTTCCGTCTCTTTATATGGCAATGATCTAAATTGTGTAGATTAGAGAAGAATCACACCCTCCAGGAAATATCAATCAGTAAAATCTTCTATAAACCAGATAGTTATCTATACCTACTTAGCATCTAGCGCGGTATTGTTATTTAATTAACATACACAATATGCCCGATAATATATGTAAGTTATGTAAATGGAAAGTGACAAGTCACCAAGGTGGTTTAAAAGTCCATGAAATTAGCCAAGCCTATATAATAAAAAAAAATAATCACATTATGCTGGGAACCAAAGATCACCAAATCGAACTCAACGATAATCAGGTGTTGATCTAGATGGTAATAAAGTTTGACTCACAACAGACAACAGTATTTGTTTGTTTACTATAACAAAAAAATTTTCTCTCCGATATCTCGAGAGAACCTGTTTCACCACAGTGTGCTTATATCTACCTGTTATATCAAAAGAATCTGTTTTTATATATCTAACATCTCTGGAGAATCATTTTCTACCAAACTGTACTTATATTTACCTTTTATCTCGAGAGAATCTGTTTCCACGAAAATGTGATATCTACTTGATATCTCGTGAGAATCTGTTTACACCACACAGTGCCTATATCTACCTGATATCTCTGGAGAATCTGTTTTCACCACATTGTGCTTATTTACTTGGTATCTCGAGTGAATCTGTTTTAATATCACTATGATATCTACTTTATATCTCGGAAAAATGTGTTTTCTCCCCACTGTGATTATAACTACCCAATATCTCGAGTTGATCTGTTTCATTAATTTGTGCTTAATCTATCTTGCATTATGCTGTGTTTTATATTGACCTATACTATCTTGAGGTTATTTGTTTTCATTCATCAGGAAGGTTTATACCTGATCTTTTCAGTATATATACTGTGCTTATATTATCTACCTGATATCTCGAGTTAATATGTTTCATCTTACTTAATTTATATCTTGCTGAAATATCTAAATAACCTGTCTCAGATTATGTATACCTGATATCTAAGATTATCTTTTTTTTTCTTTCTTAATTTAATGGTCTTATATCTACCTGATATCTATAAATATTAAAATCTGTTTCATTACTTTGCTTAAACGTATATTTATCTGATATCTTAGTTTTCATTTTACTGGGCGTACATGTAAATCTACATAACATCTACCTGATATCTCTTGATAATCGGTTTCATTATATAGTAAAGGAGGAAAGACCACAGGTAAACAAACTCTGTCGCTGCCTTTACTTTTTCTTACACATTCTGAAACTTCGACTGTATAGTCAGGAAAATCTCTATAACATTCGGAACATCTCCCACAATTCAATGTTGCCGCCAGTCGAAAATATCCTGAAAAAAAGCATATAGCATTTCAAATTTTTACGTGACTCTTTTCTGCATTTAAAATGATGCTTTTGTAAAAAGCAGTACATAGCCTCTACACAACCAAGACTCCATTGGTGCGTTAGTGGTGAAAACCACTGGGTAGTGTTATGCGTCTAGTACATTTATGCCGCTGAATAGCATTATATGTAAAAAGAGAGCCGAGTGTGTCAGTCTCTCCTGTCAGTACATAGTCTTTACACTACCAAGACTCCATTGGTGCCTCATCGCGGTAACGCACGGATACTGGTCTCACTCGATGCCAAGCCAAACTGATGGGAGATCGGGGAGCAACTAGGGCACATAGATACAGTGTGTAGGCCCACCGGTGTGTGTATATGCCCTAGCACTCATCAACCTTGTCCCAGCTATAGGAAAATAGTCGATCAGATGGGTTGGATAGCCCAGTAAGGCAATCCATTTAGGATAGACAACTCAGATCCAATCCGGGTAGGTCTTGGCTCGTAAGCCTTGGCTGGCAACCGATCTAGGGGAATGGAACCTCAACTACAAATCCGCTGGTCCTCCAGGTTAGGGGTTGAGTACAAGACTAACTATCTCGTCTCGTAAAAAACTCTACAGTTACGGAAACCAGAACAGTAATAATAAACAATTGCAACAGCATACCAGTGGATGTAAGTTGTCAAGGCAACAGCATGAATGTTAGTGAAAGCTTTCTAGAAGCTAACAAAGGACAACCAACCGTCTGGGGCCGAAAGAACACCTAAAGATAGGAGCATGAAACGTACGAACCATGTATGAATGTGGGAAGACTGCCCATGTAGTAAAGGAGATGCAATCGTACAACAATTAATATTGATATTCTTGGAGTAAGGGAATGCAGGTGGACTGACTGCGAATCTGTTACTACATCTACTGGTGAAACGATTATATATTCAGGTAGAAAGGATAATAAATATCAGCAAGGGGTTGCTATCATCGTGAACAAAAAGGCTTAAGGTGCGCTCATTCAATGGTTACCAGTAGATGAGAGAAGAATTGTTGAAAGAATCCATTCCAAATATGCCAAGATGACAATGATACAATGCTATGCACCAACAAATGATGCGGATGATGAAACAAAAAAAGCTTTTATGAGAAACTTCAAAGCATTACTGGCAAAACACCACGGCAAGACATCCTTATTGTCTTAGGTGACATGAATGTTAAAGTTGTTGATTTTTGTGGAGCTAACGACCTTGTTATTCGAGTTACACTTTTTCCACACAAAAACATCCATAAAATCACTTGGAACTACCCAATTGGTCGTGATAAAAACCAAATAGATTATTTTATGATAAACGGACGATGGAAAAACTCACTGTGTGACGTAAGAGCTATGAGGGGAGCAGACTGTGATAGTGATATCACTTGATCATTTGCAAAATTAGGCTTAAACTAAGAAAGGCAGTAAAGAATAGAATCAACAAGAGGGAAATATTTGACAGTCAAACTAAAACAACCTGAAATTCTGATGAAATTTAAGATCGATCTCAGGAACAGATTTCAAGTGTTAGAAGGCCTACAATACAAGAATGAGCCAAGCACAGTAGGAAGCTTAGAACAGGGATGGAATTAAATCGAAACTGCGTTTAAAGAAAAATCAAGAAACACCCTAGGACTCAGAAATCGTGAAAGAAAAACATGGATAATTGATGACACCTTGAGTAGTATTCAGCAGACATATAAACAAAAATAAGCAGTACAAAATCAAAACGAATCCAAACTTCTCTAAGAAATGAATATTTACTCAAAGACAAAGAAGTAAAACGCAAAGCCAAAGCAGATAAGACAATATACTTCGAGTCACTTGCCAAAGAAGCAGACACAGTAGCTTCTAAGGGAGAACTTATCACTGATTATAAATTCACAAAAGAACTAAGTGGTAAACACACAAACTCCAGTGTACCATGTAAGTCCAAGGATGGTCAAGTCTTTGCCTCAGAAAGTCAACAACTGGAAAGGTGAACTGAACACTTTAAAGAAACATTGAATATTGAACACCAGGGAGATGTTCCAATTATAGAACAGTTCGGAGTGGAACTAAATATATTTATTGGGGAGGTATCAAGGGATTAGATCAGGAAGACAATACTCAGACTGAAGAATGGAAAATTATCTGGCTTGTATGCAATAACAGCTAAAATGCTTAAAACAGATATGGAAACCAGCACAATCGTGTTTCGTGAACTGTTTATACATATCTGGAGATATGACACTATCCAAAATGACTGGGCAAAGGGTCTCATGATAAAACTACCCAAGAAAGGAGATCGAAGTGATTGCAACAACTGGCGTGGTATAACTTTGCTATCAGTACAAAGCAAGATACTACTGAGAGTACTTTTCAACAGAATAAGTGATGCTATAGATGATATTCTGAGAAAAGAGCAGGCAGGGTTTAGATCAGATAGAGGTTGCACCGACCATAATTTCACCATCAGAAATATAATAGAGCAAAGTATAGTGTTGCAAACAAATTAGTTCTAAATTTCATCGACTTTCGTAAAGCCTTTGACGGCATTAAAAGAAGTTGCTTATGGGCCATCCTTAGAGTATATGGTGTACCATTAAAATTAATCACCTTAACACAAGCTTTCTACAACAACTATGGATGCTGTGTATTACATAACGGTAAGCAGTCAAAATGGTTCATAGTAACATCTGGAGTACGACAAGGGTCTATAATATCTCTTATCTTATTCATGACAGCAATAGAATGGTGTATGATTACAACATTAGGAAATGAAGTCACAGGCATCAGATGTACCATGAATTCCTTTCTAGAGGATTTAGACTTTGATGATGATATCTGTCTTCTTTCCATTAACAGGAACAACTTGCAGAACAAAACCATCAGACTTATAAAAAAGTACAAAGTATATGCCTGACTATAAATGAGAAGAAGACCAAGGTCATGAATATCCCCAGTAACACAATACAACCAGTGTACTTGAGAAATAACATCTTATAAGAGGTTGAGTATTTGGAAGCATGCTAAGTAACACCAATGGAACAGCAAAGCCAGATATGCATTCTGCCAATTACGGCCCATATGAAACAGAAGGTCAATCAGCCTAAAAACAAAGATCAGAATATACACCAGCAATGTGAAGTCAATCCTTCTATATGGGACAGAATGCTGGAGAATTATCCAATCCGACATTAATAGGTTTTCCTCATTTCATAACACCAGCTTGAGGAAAATCTATTAGGTCTTCTGGCCCAATAAAATAACCAACAAAAACCTGTACCATAAAACCAATCAGTGCTGTAAAGAGACGGGGATTAAAAGGAAGAGATGGCGTTGGATTGGTCATGTATTTAGGAAAGGAAATGAGGATATCACCAAGATTGCTTTCCGATGGACATCTGATAGTAGACGAAAAAAGAAGGAGACCAAAAGAAACCTGGCGTAGAATAGTAGAAACTGATATGAAAGACCTTGGGAAGACCTTGAAGGCAATTGAGAAGAAGTCACAAGACAGGCAACTGTGGCGGGGACTGTTTGAGGCATCATGTGCTGACAGGCACGAAGAGGATGAGTGAGAGTGAATTTCAAATTTTTACGTGACCCTTTTGTGCATTTAAAATGATGGGTTTGTAAAAAGCTAGTTATCAAAAAAAACTATATCTGACCAAAATAAAATGAAACTATATTTAAAGCCAACTTGTTTGTTATCCTACCATGCCTATAGACATTAATATGAATATTTTAATCAAACGACTGAAAGCAAGTATTTAAAAGTAAGTACATGTTTAATTAAGTCGAAAATAGTTTGTCTTTTGTAGTTCATAGTGCGTTTAGGCAAATATTTTGGAACTCAACTTGATTGTGATATAAATGGGCGATTTACACAAAAGTGTACACTGTTCTATATTTTTAAACAAGATTAAGCCTTGTTACTCGATCAGGAGTCTGCCAAAAAATACAATAAATGTCTTGAAATAGTTTATTGAAATGATCCAAAGGTTGTATATATAGATATAAGAAGATGTGGTATGAGTTCCAATGAGACAACTATCCATCCAAGTCACAATTTATAAAAGTAAACCATTATAGGTCAAAGTACGGTCTTCAACACGGACCCTTGGCTCACATCGCACAGCAAGCTATAAAGGGCACCAAAAATTACTAGTGTAAAACCATTCAAACGGGAAAACCAACGGTCTAATCTATATAAAAAACGAGAAACACTTATGAACCACATCGACAAACGACAACTACTGAACCTCAGATTCCTGACTCAGGACAGGTGCAAACAATTGCAGCGGGTTTAAACGTTTTAATGGTACCAAACCTTCACCCTTGTCTGAAACAATAGTGTAACATCACAACCTAGAAAGATACACTATAAAATATCAATTGAAATGGCTTAACTCAATCAAAAGACATATTAACACAAGTCAACATACACTGAACGAATAAATTTGATCTATGATACAATGCAAATACAAAATCAATAAAATAAGGGATGAATAATTAAAGTAACAGTATTATACCGCTGTGAAATGTTAGACAATTTCAGAAAAACAAAAATCCGTCATTTACAATATTATTATACACAGGTAAATGAAAATATTTTTGTTGTTAGGTATACAATTTAAATGGAGAAAGGAAATGTTTTTACAAAATAAATAATTTATATATTATATATAGTTCTTTTTTTTTCTAAAAAAGGGTCCAATGTGTTTCAACAAATGGTTGTGTTTTCAGTTATATATAAAATGTCAATTTGTATACGGTTTCGAGACTGACAATTATACTTTGACACAGAAATAATGCAGAAAAAACTATAAAAAATTAATATGCACCCTTGATTTATTATAATTACATTTAGACCTCAGATTTTCTCAACCGAATATTTGATTTCCTTAGTCAAAAAATCTATTTCCTCAAGATATAAGTATTATATATTAATCAGAAATATTCAATCAAAAAGAATTAAACAATACAAATTGTAATAAAGAACCGTAATCTTGTACATTTCCGTCTTCTGCATGTGTGAAAAAACCAATTGTCGTAACAAGAATCACGTCTTCTTTTCCCAAATCTGTAATATTAGACTTATCACCGAATTTGTACTAACGTGAACAACACGATGGATGTTATATGTTGAACAGGAATGTCTGGATCTCATTACCCTTCCAGAACAACTGTTTTGTAGACTGGTTTTCCTCTTTTGGTCGTTTTGTTTTAGACGTATGAGTATAAATATCTGTTTGGTATCTGTAGACTGGTTTTCCTCTTTTGGTCGTTTTGTCTTAGACGTATGAGTATAAATATCTCTTTGGTATCTGTAGACTGGTTTTCCTCTTTTGGTCGTTTTGTTTTAGACGTATGAGTATAAATATCTCTTTGGTATCTGTAGACTGGTTTTCCTCTTTTGGTCGTTTTGTCTTAGACGTATGAGTATAAATATCTCTTTGGTATCTGTAGACTGGTTTTCCTCTTTTGGTCGTTTTGTTTTAGACGTATGAGTATAAATATCTCTTTGGTATCTGTAGACTGGTTTTCCTCTTTTGGTCGTTTTGTTTTAGACGTATGAGTATAAATATCTCTTTGGTATCTTCCGATTCTCTTTTAAACAACAATACAGGTAAATTGAACTAAGCATACCCAAGTGCGTGACATGTAAAGAAATGGCTTTATGTGTGATAGTTAGAGTTCCAGAACTCTGGAAACGCATAAGTTTTTTCTTTAAATAGAAGTATAACTTACTACTTTATTCTTAACATTGTGTGACGTTTCAAGAAAATTTATCAGAGCATACTGCAGATAGTGAACGACCTATGAAATATTGACTTCAATGTGACGGTTTGAGTTTCAAAACTGGAAAAACAAACCAGGAAATTTCCAAAATCAAAAGCGTGCTTACTTTACCAATCAGAACAATACACTAAGGTTTCAAATACCGATCCATTCAAGATCGAATTAGTGAGCGATGTGAGAAAATTGCATTAAATTCGACAGGTAAAGTACTTTAACTCTGGATCGACATATCAAACATTTGTTTTTCAAAATCAAAATAGGAATTTCTTATATCGTTTCATGTTTGATTAAAGAATTTTGTTCCTTTTGTACGAAAGATGGACTGAGGGACAGACGGACAAGACAGACATGACAAACGGACAAGACAGACATGACAGACGGACAAGACAGACGAACAGTGGTAAACCACACTTGACCTGTCTACGATGTGCAATGTAATAAATTAGTGAATAACTTTATATCAGTGGACACATAGTTTGTATTGTCAAAGAAATATCTTATTCACATCGGCATAAAACCTCGTTAAACATCTTTGGAGTTAATATGTCATTGTGTCTATTTTAATAAAAGTCTTCGATTGGCGACATAATTAATAAAAGTCGTTGGAAATTAAGAATGACCTTAGAGAAAAATGAGAAGCGCTAGTATTTTTTCACATTTTATCAGCTTTTAACTCACCTTGTTTACAGTTTCCACAGATATTATCGTTTTTATGCGAACATGGTTTTATAATATCCTCGTAATACTGACAAGCCTTACAAGGCATACATCTCATGTTCATTCCATAACTGTCAGTAAATGTTCCATAAGGACAACGTTTACATTGAGTATTTAAAGTTTTCGAACATTTCGCCTTGACGTAATATCCCGGTTTACATCCATGACACTTCATACATTTCATTTTATATTTCGAGTAATATTTACCTTCCTTGCATTGTTTGCATTTGGTATTTCTGATAGCGGTACAATGCTTTACCACGTGGTAATCACGTGGACAACTTTTACATTTTTTACAGTATTTAGATCCTTTCCGTGAATAATATCCATTATCACATGGTTCGCAAACTGTGTCATTAGAAACGTTACATTTATATTTCACTCCAAATGCTTTCAGACGTACTGAGTATTGCTTGCTTCCAATTGTCATTTTATTATGTCTGTATCCAACAATACTGTTTTCGTCAGACTGAAATAAAATCAAACTGAATTATTTTACAAACAAACATTTTGTTTGACACCGTCTAATAGTTCAGCACCTTTGATTGAGTGTATTGATACAAAAGGGGGAAGAAGATGCCAATGGAGCAATCAATACCATTCGTCGAAAACAGACGGACAACACCATGGTTATGACAGGAAGATAAGGTATACCTGAGCCGACCAGTCTTTGCTCTTAGTGTTTAATTTGCGCCCTAAACGGCCGAAATGCAGCAAATGACATTTTTTAAATCTTGTTTTCAAGACCCGGACGAAATGAATCCTCCACTTTCCCCTCTTGGACAATCACGCTTCCACGGGATCACTTAAGCAATTCCAGCTGAAATACCATTGACTATTATATATTAAAACAAAATCTTTATTTGTTAAAAGTATCCAGATTATCAGAAAAATGGCCAAGTAAAATATCTTGGCTTAGGTTGTCGCTCTTATATTGAAGCAGAAGCTAAATTAAACATCTTTCAATCTTGAGAACAAAACAAGATTATATTAAATAATCTTCAACAAAGACTTGTTGGTGCAGAACAAGCACATTCATTGTTTAAAACTAAATTTTAGACTATTCTATCCAAGTGTAGTGAATGACCTTGAATTATTAGAATGTCATGGTTCGTGTACAGCTCATAGATCACATTCTGACGAAGAGAACAGATACTAGTATTATGGGAATGATTATGAAAACAATTATTTCATCGCTGACGAAAACATTCATTGATCATTATGTAAGAATAGGAACAAATGCAAATAACGTCAAGGTACTTTAGAATACGTTTAAAGTTCCTTTTCTATTGTCCCGTTGTGATATCGGATACGAAAATGAGAAATCGTGTATTTCGACTTGTATGTATACAGGCTACTTCTGAGAAAAAAATCTTTTTCAAATGATGAATGTTTGACAAAATGGCGGTAAAGTTTCATTGTTTAAACTAAGCCCAGGTGTTTTGTTTAATTGCAAAAAGGAGCAGATACCTAGGAGATAGTCCGAACACCACAATCGCAGAAAAAAAAAAACATCACGACAAAACGAAAATACACTAAAAATGAAAATATGAAAAACAAATCCGGAAATGAACTCAATGCTCAGGAAGCGGTTCCTGCTACACTAGTGGCGCCCGTCGCGTGGCTACGTCATATGTAATGTCAAAGCAATAAAAAGATGTCGGCATTCCGAAAAAATGTCATATTTTTTTGGTCATCTGTGACACAGATATAACATAACGGTTAACCAAGTAAGATGTGGCAAAGAAACGTCATTGATTTGACCGTGGTGGATGCATATATAGAAAATTAAATTAAGTAGTGGAAAAATATGTTTATCCTAAAAATAAGGCGACATATTCAACATATCCAGTAATAGTTATCCCATGAGGACGCGGTGTGTCAGTGTAAGATCACCCCGATGGCCGAAGGCCAGAGGGTGATCTTACAATGACACACCAAGTCCGAATGGGATAACTATTTTACATCCCAGCTGTTTTAGATTAGACGAAAAACCATTTACTATTCATAAAATCTAGTTTAGAACGCCACACAACCATTATAATATACTTTATATATTACTATATAATATATACCCTTTTTGACCCCCGAACACGATGTTTAAATATGAAACCATGTCAACTCGCCCCACTGACCAATCGGTCCACACTAAATCGCCACTTTCTAAAAAATCGCCCCACTCTTGTTAACCAACTCGCCCCACTTATGAAAAAGGGAAAATCCTATTGAACAATCAGTCTGACAACTCGCCTTATTTATAAAAAGGGTTAAAATCCCACTGAATAAAGGTCTGCCAACTCGACCCACTTATGAAAATATCTTGCTTCCTTTAAATATGTTAAATTACTGAGAGAATCCCAGCATAGACAATGGATTTTTTCTACATAAAGTTTGAAAGTGTGTCTTTTCTCAATAAATAATGCAAAGTTAGGATCAGGCATTCCCGCCAAAATGTTTCAAAACAAAGGAAAGCATGCAAAACAAAGAAACTCAAGCTGGGTGATCTGGTAGGGATGATCCGGCTCAGATCACCCCTGGTAGAACAAAGAAGCTGGGATGTAACAATGGTTCCTGTATATGCATGGAATATTTGCCACTGGGCAGTATTGCCATTAAGGAAACAACAATCAACAGTTGTTCTATACAAATATTATTTGTACCACGTAGGCCGTTTCGACACTTTCCTAACAAAATTTTTACCGCAACTAAATATAGAAAGATTCTCGTCGATTATTGTTGTTGAACAAACACATTGTGTCCGTTAAGTTGTCAACAGCCTTAAGCAAAAATCTTTAAAAGCAATTTTTCGTAATTTTACACTTTATGTCGATAGATTTTCGTTCGGCCCGGGAATCCAGAAAGCCTACAAGTACATACAAATATAAAGTTGTTTATGGGAAACTGTCAGTATAATGTCCTTGTTGATTTACTTTATTTTTTCTTGTTTATTTGTTACATTTGGAAAGTGCTATCACTTTCAACTTCGGAAAATTGACGTCAAGTTTCTTATGAATCCTATATATTTTAATTGGCTTAGGCAGTAGATGCAATGATAAATAAGTAAATGTTAGGATATTTTGATATGTTTACAGTGTTCTTGTTCGAGTTGAATACACTATGAAACATATATAGCTAATAGATATAGGAAGATGTGGTATGAGTGCCAATGAGACAACTCTCCATCCAAGTTACAATTTATAAAAGTAAACCATTATAGGTCAAGGTACGGCCTTCAACACGGAGCATTGGCTCACACCGAACAGCAAGCTATAAAGGGTCCCAAAAAATTACTAGTGTAAAACCATTCAAACGGACAAACCAACGGTCTAATCTATATAAAAACGAGAAACGAGAAACATTATCAATAAAGTTCATTATCAATAAAGGTGACTAAATGCCTATGATTAAGACAAACAGCAGACCACAATATACAAAAAAAGAACACAGAAAAAAGTTGAACGACACCATTATAAACTACAATTGAACCGTAGATGATTAAGGTACACCGGAAGGGTAAGCGACAGCGCAGAACGCACCGTCGACTGCTACATGCTAGTTTTTTTAATATAAATGAGAAAAGAAAGGACTATGATGAAGAAAATACTACCATACATTTGACAGAGATAAGCCCTACAGGTCTAACAAGTTCAAAACAATATCTTAGTAATACGCTTGTTATTATTATTTACTTTAAGATGAAATTATTCTCCTAAACTGTCTCATTGATGACCTTCTGTATAACATTAAGGTGTATGTGCCAAGTTTTGGCGAAGTGAATAGATTACTATACAAATATAAAACAGACAATAAACTGATATTCTAAATAAAAGAATGCCAAAACAATCTGTTTACAAAATAGACAGCATGGTCAATTTGACACGAAAAAGCAACAAAATTTTATAAAACTTTCTAATACTAACACCAGCCTATAGTTTTTTCAAGTTAAATCTATTCAGATTGGTTTACTTCATCTTTAGTGAAAGTATGAAAAAAAGTGTAAGTGTGAAACTGTTTTTTTCATGATAATAGCCCAAAAATGGGTAAAAATTGATGAAAAATGGGAAAATCATTAAAAATGGGTACTTTCAAATGGCTGTAGCAAAAAAAGAAGTGCACCACCATATGATTTTTTTCTTCATCAGTTACTTTCTTACAGTCATATAAACCCAAAAATTCGGTTAATTCTAGAATTTTTTGACTCCTCAGAGGTGTACATCCTTAAGATTCCTCAGTTGGATTAGCAAGCATGAGATTAACTATTCAGATATGCCTTTAGTTCTCTAGCTACAAATAGTGTTATTTTTTGCCGCCTCAAACAGAAATTGTTTGCCACCTCAAACAGAAATAAATGTATGTTATGATAACCCAGATTACTAATTTTGGAAAGTTTGTAAATATGAAACTTAAAATAACTTAACAAATGAGGAAGTTTATGTGATTAGTTTACAATATTGGTATCCTGCCAGTTTATTTTCGGAGGATTATTATGCACATTTATTTTTCTATATATATATAGGCCTACCGATTTTGATTTTCATATTTAGTTATTTTTCGATTCATCATTGTCATTTGGATTTGTTTTATTGCACAGAAATGCTTTTCATCCTACCTTAATAAATACGTGTATATGAATCCATCATTAGAAATATATGCATTTATTTCCGAAAATAAAGATAAGTTATGTATATATTCAACGGTAGAATGTAACTTAAGTCTTACTGCATCATAGTTCTATTTTTAAGCTCTATGTAAGAATATAAAATAGTAATATTATAAGCTAATGCATACCTATGCAAAAACATGAAGGTTGTTACATTGTATGATTTCAAGCTGATTGTGTTTAACTACATGCTTTAATTACTTTAACTTTCTTTGGTTGCAAGAAAGCGTTACTCAGTAAAATGTTATCTTTGCAAAGAATTTACATGCAATAATAACACTATATTCGTTTTATCAACCGGTAACCAAGGCTGTATACAAAACTGAAAGTAAAAGAGGTAGTGTGGGTGCGCAATTTTCCACAAGAGAAACAAAATGTTATACTTACTGTTTTAGATAATTTGCGTTTCCCTAAAACCAGACAGTTAAGGCCCATTATTGCAAATAATCCATAGTGGGTAAGATCCATGTTAAATGCGCGGCCATATATCTAGGAAGTTATTTAAATTGAAACTAAATTTTCCAGTATTACTTTATTCTATAAATAGGTTAGCTTACCTGAAATCATTTACATTGTATATATGTGTATAGACAACAGACAAAGCTTATATATAATGGATTGATTTGCCAGTCTTTTTTAGCATTTTTTGGGAATCCCTAATTTAGTTATCCTTTAATAAGTGTCAATGATACTTTATTTTGTACAGTCCACCAGCAACAGCAGTGGTATCGACCAAGTGCGTAAAAATAAAAAAATAAAAAATTATTTATTTATTTTACTGCGTCCAAAGCGCTTTTCTGGATTTACCTTCATCAGAAAGGCTCAAACCCAAGCATTTGGAAGCAAAGGATGTATGAATAGTCAGGATTCTACTTCGTCAAAAGTATCTCCCCATTACGCCACCTGAATTTTACGATCGTAAAAATGGAAGCCATTGTAGGGATGAAGCGCTGTTAGTTGAATTTTAAAAGACAAATGTATCTACTAGCTATTGAGCATCATGTATGTACTTTTATGCCATTAGTCAACTTTAAACTATTGTCTGGTCGGTTGTCACGGAGAATTTTCGAAAGTTCAAAAACATTTAATAAAATTCTAATTAAATATTTCGTGGAAGGGCAGACTAAAAATTTTCAGAGGTTACAGACTAATAACACTAGATAACACGCACAAAAAAAATGAAGTTTTTTTTTGTATTTGTAAGATCCACTTGTAAAGTCTGTCGTCGAGTACTTTCAGTAAAAATTTGTTATTCAAACACACCTATTCTGTTCTTATGACTCATTAGAAAGGTATTTTATTTGACCCATAAATTTCATTGTTTTAGTACTGTGAAATTTAATGTTATATCAACCTGTAGGCTAAATACATAAAATTAATAGTATCTGAAGCGAGATGATGTATCAAGCATTTTTGCTTTATACGTTTTCAGGTCAAAATAGTCTACTCAAACACGCCTGAACATAAAAAGGTGTACTCGACTTTCTCTATTCGATGAAATTATTGCCCATTTTTAGGATTTTTTCCCAAAAAAACTGTCGCCGGTGGCAGAGATGCATATTTATGCTTTAAAAAGAACTTTTTATCTCTCTGTTGAATTTTTTTCGGCGGAATTTATGCTTATTTAGCACAAAAAAGTCCACATGTATTTGCATCTACCACAATCGACTGTTTTGTGAAAATTTGTCTTTAATTTAAAAGTTTACAAATATCTCGAGGCTCCATACAATAAATTAAGTAAAAACGGGTATATATAAGATGCGTAAAATCCTAAATTATGCACCTCCATTACACTTTTAAAGCCCATAGAAACAGATGTAAACAATTCAAATAAACCAATTTGGCCTTTTTTACCTTCTCTAATAAAGAGTTCCATTTTTTTGGTTCAATTTCAACTGGGTATCCGCATATGAAGGCTCAACACATAACTAGTTATACGAACAAAAAGGGAACTAAAACATGGCCAAATTTATCTAAGGTCAACTTTGCCTTTTGGTTGAAATCTTAAGATTCTCAAAAATTTCTTAACTTATTAGCAAAGAATTTAAGAAAAATGTTTGTAACAATTCATGTCAGTACTGAACCACAGACAAATCATTTGAAAGAAACTGATATATAAGACATAAACACATAAAGAGCTGTACTAAATAGCAAAATTCATCTATGGTCTTCCTTTACTTAGGATTGGAACTTAAGTTTATAAATGATTTCTTAATTCATCAACCAATTTGCTAAAAATCATGTCAGTACCAAAGGACTGACTACTGAGTTAATGTCAACTTCGAGGACTAATAATCCATCTGCAGTGGTATCGACCCAATGCAAGTAAATGAGAATAACAATTTATTGATTTCGTGCGTTCGAAGAGCTTTTATGGATTTACCGTCATCAAGAATGCCCTAACCCAAACATTTGAAAGCCAAGTATTTATAAGACATAAACACATGAACAGCTATATGACCAAAAGGGGGCTACAAAATACCCATATTCATATGAGGTCAAATTTGCATGAGGGAGTTGTATAAAACTGAGTTTCTTAATAATTTCATAATTCATCACTGGATAATTTAAGCACTGACTACTGGTATGGTGATAAATTCGTTCGAAAAGCTTTTTCTAGGTTTACAGATATCAAGAACTGTCAAACCCAATTATTTGAAAGCCAATGCTGTATTAGACATGTGAAGAGCTATACGACCAAAAGGGACAAACATATAGCCCAAATTCATCTTAGGTTAACTTAATCTGAGGGTGTTGAAACCTAAATTTCTTCATAATTTTTCACTTAATCAACAGAGAATTTAAGAAATGTTTTTTTGAAAATCATGTCAGTACCAAAGCACTAATTACTGTTACCCTCGTGGACTAACAGTTCTCCACCATCAGTTGTATCGACCCAGTGCTAGTAAATGAAAATACTAGTATTGACGTCGTCCGTCCGAAGCGCTTTTCTGGTTTTACCTTTATCAGGAACGCTGAATCCCAATCAATTTAAAGTCAAGGATGTATATGACATAAACACGCGAAAAGATTAAGGACCTAACGAAACCTAAAAAATAGCTAAGATCTACTAAGTATTCTAAATTCTCAAATTTCTTGATAATTCCTCATTTGATCATAACAAATTTTTAAAATCATATCTGTACCGAAGCACTGACTTCTGAGTTGATGATAGCCTTGGGAACTCACTGTCAATAATCAATAAACTATGGATCACTCACATGTTTGCAAACCTTTGAATTGTTCGCACTATAAAGGATTGTCTATCCCTGGGCCCTCGGTCATAAAACTTTACTCGGTACTCGGAGTACAAAATTTGTGCTCGAAACACCAAATCCAGTATTTTAATTGGTTGATTTCTGAGTCTGAGTAGGATAATCGTGCTCGAAAGTTTTATGACCGCAAGGCCAGGAATATATTACATTAGTTCTGTTAGATAAACCTTTTGTAATGTTGGGTTCTCAATGCTGTTCAATTTATCTGGCCTTTGATTTTTATTTTATTCAAGCGTCGATCACTGATGAGTCTTTTTGTACATTGTAGATTAAGGATGTTCGCTCCTCTTGTTTTTGAATTTTTGCCAGATATTCGGAATCCTCTGATTTTATCCATGTAGTGTCATTAAAAAAATTTGCCCGCTAACCCCTACTTTTCTTTTCATTTTTTTTATTACATATAGTTTTAAAAGCCATATTTGAAAATCCTATAAAATCCTTGTTATTTTTTCACATTTTTTAAAAGAAAAGGGTGCCAATGTTAAATGTATGAAAAGTCTAAAGAGAATTATTTCCCGCCATATTTTCAATGGCTTGTATCTCAAAAACAAGCACACGGACCCCTAATTTTTTTTTTCTGCTTTTTTAGTTCCTTTATTTATATACTATCAATATATAACAGTATTTTAAAAAGCTTGTTATTTTGAAACCTCTGTATTGTAGTTAACTTTTGGTTCTACCATTTTGTTAAACACACAACATGCTACTTTAACATTACATCCCAACACCTTTGTTCTAACTTGACTTTCTTTGTTCTGCATGCTTTCTTTTGTTCTGTAACATTTTGGTGGGAATGTTGAACACACAATAAAACTTAGAAATAGTTATTATTCGGAATAAAGACTAACTTTTCAAAATTCATGTAGAAAAAATCCACTAAATTTCCAGTATCTATGCGGGGAATCGAACTCAAGACCTTTAGCATGTGAAGCCACGATTCCTACCCCTACACTAGGACGACTGGATCCAAACACACTGTTAATTTAACATATTTAAACATTGTATCCGGGGGTCATAAAGGCTATATACTATATAGTAATATATAAAGTGTATTATAATTATTGTATGGCATTCTGAACTAGATGTTATGAAGCGTAAATGTTTTTTTCGTATATTCTAGAAGAGCTGGGATGTAAAATAGTTATCCAACTCGTACTTGGTGTGTCAATGTAAGATCACCCTCTGGACTCCGGCCATCGGGAAGATTTTACACTGACACACCGCGTCCTCATGGGATAACTATTACAGAGCCAGTATAGGACTAAAAATAAACATTGCTGTTGTGGCCTTTTCTACAGGTTAATCAGACCTATGATTAAGATTACCATTACATTTAGAATACATAAAAATGGATTAGAGTATTCGTTAACTCTTATCAAAATATACGAAAACATACATTGGATGTTCGATCCTATATTTAGAAATATTTATCAGTGCTTTTTTTTTTGGTAATTAACATAAGATTATTCTAATTTTGTAAAATCATAGTTTTATACCGAATAAGACTTAACACAGGATTTGTACTTACATGAGCAACACGATGGATGCCATATGTGAAGCAGAATCTGCTTATCCTTCCGGAGTACATGAGACCACCCCACCACCGGCTTTTTGTGGGGTTCGTGTTGCTCAGTCTTTAATTTTCTACGTTGTGATTTATGTAATTTAGTTTGTATTTTGGTCGTTTATCGTTTTTGCCGCGCGTGGCATTGTCAGTTTGTTTTCGAAAAACGGGTTGGAATATCCCTTTGGTATATTTTGCCTCTCTTGAATTTTGTTGACATTTAATTTAAGTTACCATTTATCACAATAGTCTTCCCAATTATTTAAGCTATTTTGTAATCCTGATAGTATAAGTGTTAAAGTCATCTGCTACATAAAGGCAATTAACCTCAGAAGAAACTAATTTGAAAGGATAGTTATCAATTTTTGAGATTTTGCTATCAATACCATTTATAAAAGTAAACAAAGAGGCTCAAGGATCTCTCTGTTTCACCCTTCTTGATATTCAAAATAATTCTGAGCACTGATTTTGCAGTTTGATGGCCTATTGAGTTTTAATATATTGTTGTTTAATTAGGTTTTAAAAAATACCAGTGCCTACATGTAGGTTGTATAGTTTATATAGGAGAGCTTTTCTATAGCAATATACACTTTTATAATATAACATATGCTCATTTATATTAAAATTTAAAAAATATATTATTATCATATCCTGTTATTCAAAAGGTAAGATG